CTGGGAGATTGGGGTAGCTCCAAGTCCTAAATACTCTTGAGGTCCCACTGAGAGATACTTGGGGTCGGCGGCCATCAAGTGCAATTCCAGCGGGAAGCTCCACGGAGGGGCGGCTCGCCGTTTGGCACTTCGTCGAAGGCGTCGTAATGTCGCCTGAAAGTCCCGTCGCCCTTGGAGGTCGGTCCGCTCGAGCTCGTCCTCGTCCGTCGGCACTGCTGGCACTTGCGTACTAAAGAAGCTGATCATTCTGTCAACGTCGAAATCAACTGCGTCCATCCCACCGCCATCTGCTGGTAGACTGAGCTGCGTCTGCCATTCAGTTCTGCTATCAAATGTCGAAGGTAAGTTATACTTTCGTTTCCGAGGTCCACCGTGCTGCGCTGCGAGTAGAAATATCAATCGATGTACATCAGCGTGTTTATGTTGATTATGTGCGTCTGCAATCTCTGCTTCCAATCTGCGTCGTGAATCGTGCCAAGCTTGTCGACTCTCTTGGCGAAGTGTCTTTTTGATCACTCGCAGCTCATCTTTAATCGCATCAGCCCTGGCTTCCAAATCATCCAACGAAATTCTCATAGGCGAAACACTCCTCATTTGCATCTGTGATCCTGCGCTGCCCTGGTCGTAGCTCACTGAAGTTGCAGTCCCCGCATTCTCCCCTGCAGCTATCCAGCCCGTGGGGGTAGTCGGTAACTCTGCAGCACTCGCATCATTCCCATTACCCGTCACTATGTGTGTGTGTGTGTCAATCTCACGTAATCGATTCAGATGATCCGAAGATGTAGTAGTGTGTTGTCGTGCAGTTCAACGTCGAATCCCCTGTTCTTCGCCCACCCCGCGTAGTTCGACTCGAAGTTCACTCCGTGCTCGAACAAGTTCCAGTCGCCGAGCCCTGAGTGTCGAAACTGCTGGGTCGAGCTCCTTTGGCTTCTGTGCGAAGTGGGCAAGTCCCGTCCTACGAACTATTTCCAACCACCCCTGCCATGCTCGGTCAAGCTCGCCCCTTTGTAGGCGTCGTTGCATCTCAGGCGCGTGCTCCTGCATGGCCGTCTCTAAGTCGTCCAGAAACTCCGGCCTCGCCACGCCGCGCTGGACCGCGGCCGCGAGTTTGTGGCGATCCCACCGCTCGTCCCTGGCCGATGAGGGCTCGTACTGTTTCGAAATGGTCATCTGCAACAAGATCGGGACGTGGTCTCTGGGGTGCTGGGACGGGATCAACTGGAGGCGCTTCGCAGGGTTCCATAGGACCTTACAAGCCGACACTTGATCTCTGAGCCCCTGGGGTATGAAGATGTGGTCGATGGTGGACGTGTGGCCACTGTGGGAATGGTATGCAGGGCCCCCCCTTCGATCAGCGGTAACAGCGTCAAACATCTCCAGAGGGGCCAACAACTCATCCTGGATCAGATTGCCGATCACGTTCTGCTCCCCCGTGTTGTAAGGGCCCGCCAGGGGCCGCTCCTGTTCCCACCAAGACGCCGATGCAGAAGGCGAAAAAGTGCGCGAGCCCCCGCGGAGGCCCATCTGTGTATTGAAGTCCCCTGCGAAGATCGGAGTAGATCTGTTGGGCGCTTTCTGGACCTGCTGGATTCCCCATCGGATCACTTGGGTGGACCCCTTCTCCAGAGCCTTACGCTTCTTCGCCGAGGCGTCTCCGATGGGGGGAACGTATAGCAACACCACGCTCAAGTCGATACTACGATTACGAAGCCGAACCGCTAGTCCTCTACCTTGGGCCACCTCTGGGGGAGTGTTGATGGTCCTGACATGTTTGGCCCTGAACAGGTTCCCCACCAAGATCGTACAGCCCGCCGAACTATTCGAGAATGGTCCTGCTCTCCAGCCCGCATTCAAGGCGAACGCCCCACCTCCCGACGGCATCCGTGTAACTGCGTGGCCAGGTTGAGCTTTCATCCGAGTCCCTGGGAGGAGGACGAGGTCGGCTCTAACAGTTCTCCATATATCGACCAGCCTCTGAGGTTCCAGGGCCGAGAGAGGGTTGTACAGCACTATGCGCAGCGCCGCGAGCCGCGGCACCGCCGCCGCCATCCGCTGGCCTAGCGGGCGCACGTCGCGCCACAGGCCCGCGTCCACCAGGCGCGCTGATCTTGGCGGGTGGTGCGCCAGGGAGGAGATGAAGGTACGGTAGAGAGTGGAAGCTGCGCTGGTGCAGAGGTTTCCTCGAGCAGCTGAAGGAAAGGACAAGGGGGAGGGAGGAGGATGGAACACGAGAGAGGGAGAGAGCATGAAAGAGATGTTAGGAGCAGAAAGCACGTGACATAACCAGACGGGCAGATCGGGCGGGTAGACCCTAACAGGCGGGCCTGGAAGGCGGGCCCAGGCTGCTAGGTCGAGCAGGCGGGTTGCTAATGCGTGAGTTCTGCGTGAATCGCGAGAAAGTCTCGAGCGATAACGCGTTTCCCCAATAAACCGTGGGGTAATTCACAGCGAGAGCGTGATTCTTGAGTGTCGATGGCGCGGCGTTTGAGTAAGTTGGGTGGAAGTCCAACGCGAGAGCGCGATTTCTGTATACACTGACGAAGTCCCGCGCGAGCGCGCGATTTGGGAATACATTGTGATGAAGTGTCATGCGGGAGCCGTTGTTGTTGTTGTTGTTGTTGTTGTTGTTGTTGTTGTAGTTCGGGGGCTAGGGGACCAGTTTTGTGACCCTGAAACTTCCCTGGATAAAAACAGGGTGCGAGCCCGGGATGAGCATTTTAATTGATAAATTCAATGGTTACTGGAGGGGGATCAACAATCGATTCTTCAGAGATGAAAATTCAGCAACAACCACAGCAGCAACAGCACCAACAACAACACAGCACAAACAACAGCATAAACTACAACAAAAACAACAATAACAACAATCAGTTTAAGACTGTTCGCTCTTATCTGCGCGAGTGTCATTCAACATGTATTTCCCGAACCCTCGATACCCGCCCTCTTCGTCTTCGATCGTGCCATCATCGCGGTTGTCATCAATTGGTTCCCCCCAACATCTTTATCACCCGAAGGATAGTCGTATAGGTATTTGTTTTCAGTCCTTCGCTCCAGACTTGCGGACCCCTTCCCCTGGGGGTAGCTTCGCGTTCCGGGCCCATTTTTGATTGCCCCGGGGGTCCGATGATGGGCCCCGAAGGCCGAAATCGACGAAAAACGCTGGGATTGAAACAAGTCCTTAGAGATCCGACGTAACGAAAAAAATGCAGCATCGTACAACAATTCGGCCGGAGCCCTGGATCCCATTTTCGTTTTTTCCAGACCATCCTGTGGTGTTGGGTCCTCGTTTTGAAGAGACGGTGGCCCGCGTCCTCCTCTCCTCCTCCCCCTCCTCCTTGCGTTTCTCCCACCCAGCACAGCGTTTCGTAGCCCCATAGGGAGCTCCACCGACTGCTCCCAGAGGCAGGGTTCGCATGGCGGCCTCGGGCCATTTCGGCACACCCCTCTCGAGGATCGTGGCCCCATAGGGAGCTCCACCGAAGGCGCCAGTGGCAGGGTTCGCATGGCGGCCTCGGGCCATTTCGGCGCACCCCTCTCGAGGATCGTGGCCCCATAAAGGGAGCTCCACCGAAGGCGCCAGTGGCAGGGTTCGCATGGCGGCCTCGGGCCATTTCGGCGCACCCCTCACGAGGATCGTGGCCCCATAGTTGTGCTGCTTCAACAACCGCGCCTGGGCGTCATACTCCGCCTTGGCGACGTGCAACGCCACCTCCTCCCTCATGGCTCTCAAGGCCCTTTCCTGCTTCTGCTCCTCGGTGAGAGGGACGCCGTCCTTGTCGTCGTCGGCGCCCGCGAAGACGGCCACGAACGTGTCCCTGAGCATGTCGGGCTCCGGCGGGAAGCCGTGGCCACATAGGGAGCGCGGGCGAAGATGGTATTCACAATTGCGGTATTCACAACTGCATATGGTTGGGTCCTTCGCCAGGATAATTTTCGATTCTGATCCATCCTTGAATGCCCCGGGGCCCGAAACAGGGCAACATCTCTCGTTTTCCTTCTTGATGTGTAGATATAAGATGTGGAATAACACGCCAGGATCTCAGGGATCACGTCGCTGGAGAAGTGCGAGTCCGGATTCCCCATTGAGCCAGCCCTCCACATGCCCCCCCCGCGAGCGACCGCCCCCCCGCGCGGGAGGCCCCGTTGGCCTCCCGGCTGCGTTCGTCGTCGTGTGTTTGCTGCTCCTTTCTCCTTTGCCCTCCTGGGCGGCCGGGAAGCACAGGCTGCAGGGAGCATGGCTGGTACGGAGAGAACGGGGACGAAGACCAACAGCAGTTCTCGTCCATTTTGAACCTGAACCGCTGTCGCTGTCGCCGCGGACGGTGACCATTTGAGGCAAAGAGCCGCCTACTCAACAGCGGCCGCTATCGGATTTGGGCATCCAGTTTATTCTTCCCGTACCCACGTCGGACGTGCAATCATGCAGCGACAGGAGGGGCTTTGGCCCGATCTCAAACGATGGAGCGTTTGATGGACATGCGAGGACTCTGCTCAGACTGAAGTTTGACCTTCCCTGCTTACTTCGCGAACGAAGTACGACGAACCCCCAGACGGTATTCGCACGAGTGGCAATTGCGGACATATTGTGCCAAGCGCTGTAGCCTGACCTGATCGCTTTAGCTGCTCTGCAACATGGCCTTCTCCGAAATTGTTTCGCAGAGGGGCAGTCCACGAAATGCAGCGGAAGCCTCGCTCACCACGCTCGCCTCGAGAGCGTCCGCCCCGCCCCCTCCGTGGCCCACCTCTTCTGGTAGTACAAGTCATGGGGGCCTCGCACGTCCTCAGAATTCAGTCTTTAGAGTGCACTAACGTGCGCTAGCGCCTGGCCGGCGATGAGAAAACGCCGATCTAGCTTCCCCGGTAGGAATTGATTTAGCGTCGGCTAGCGTCGACTGGCGTCGGTTAGCGCCGATTCGCAAGAGCCAGCGAGATGACACGGGAGGCTCCCGTGAGTTGCCACCGAAACTCTCCCGAGCGGCCGCCCCCCATCCCCAAGACAGGCCCCGCAGCCTCCCGCTGACGGCGCCGCCCAGGCTGAGCGCGGCCGAGGACTGGGGCGCCGCTGGGGCGGGGCGCGGCGGCGGGCCCGTTGCCCCTCAGGCCGCGCCCAGGGGCGGCAGGGAGCCCCTGGAGGGAAAATCGAGGTTCGAAGGTGGACGCTCTCCAGCCTCGGGGGGCCTTCAGCAGCTGCGGCTCGCCGAGGGCGCCTTTGGGGTGCAGGGATCGCCTTGAAAAGTCCGAAGCAGCAGAAATTGCCCGTCAAGTAAAGACTCATCAGCGGATGAATATGTTGCCAGATGGTTTTGGAATTGTCGGGCATTTGTTTTATCGGGCGCGAGGGTTTTTCTGGGTTTCGCTGGATTCTTCAGGACGCGTCAGGATTCTCCGGAACTCCTCAGGAACCAGTGGGGTTCGGCAGGGTTCGGAAGGATTCGACAGGGTTCCGACAATTAGCCTGGCGAAGGACCCAACCATATGCAGTTGCGAGTACCGCGCAGGATATGCGACGAAGGAGGGGGGACACGCAAGCTACGAGTATCGCAAGGCATGCCCCCTCTTCTCACAGGCACCGCGCCACTGCATGGACGAGGCACAGGGCAGCGCGGGCAGGAGGTGGCTGGCGGAGGAGGAGGAGGGCTGAGCGGCGCGAGCCACCACATCAGCATCAGCGCATCTTGAGACCTGCATTCGGTGGAGCTCCCTATGGGGCCACGAAACGCTGTCCTGGGTATGGGAGACGCAAGTGGACACCGTCACGGGGGCCTTCGGTGGAGCTCCCTATTGGGCCACGAAACGCTGTCCTGGGCGTGGGGGACGCATGCGGGCACCCCCACTGGGGCCTTCGGTGGAGCTCCCTATGGGGCCACGTTACGCTGTCCTGGGCGTGGGGGACGCATGCGGGCACCCCCACTGGGGGTGGAGCTCCCTATGGGGCTACGAAACGCTAGCCTGGGCGTGGGGGACGCATGCGGGCACCCCCACTGGGACCTTCGGTGGAGCTCCCTATGGAGCCACGAAACGCAGTGCTGGGCGTGGGGGACGCATGCGGGCACCCCGATTGGGGCCTTCGGTGGAGCTCCCGATGGGGCTACGAAACGCTGTCCTGGGCGTGGGGGACGCATGCGGGCACCCCCATTGGGGCCTTCGGTGGAGCTCCCTATGGGGCCACGAAGCGCTGTCCTGGGCGTGGGGAACGCATGCGGGCACCCCCACTGGGGCCTTCGGTGGAGCTCCCTATGGGGCCACGAAACGCTGTCCTGGGCGTGGGGGACGCATGCGGGCACCCCGACTGGGGCCTTCGGTGGAGCTCCCTATGGGGCTACGAAGCGCTGTCCTGGGCGCGGGGGACGCATGCGGCACCCCCAGTGGGGGTGGAGCTCCCTATGGGGCCACGAAACGCAGTGCTGGGCGTGGGGGGACGCATGCGGGCACCCCCACTGGGACCTTCGGTGGAGCTCCCTATGAGGCTACGAAACGTGTGAGGGGTGTGCCGAGAGCAGAGGCAATGAGGGGGAGGAGGGAGGAGGGGGAGGGAGAAGCGGGAGGAGGAAGGAACGCGGGGCGCTGTCTCTTCAAAACGAGGACCCAACAACACAGGTTGGTTGGGGAAAAACGCCATGGAATGCACAATCGGTTGCGCTATAGCCATGGGTTGCACCATAGCGGCGGGCACGGGGCGAAACCTCGTCCGTCCCGTCCAATTGGGTGCGCCACAGGTTGCGCCATAGGTTGACCATATCTGTAGGTTGCGCCATCGGTTTCGCCACGAGGTTGCACCATAGGGGCGGGCCTGTGACGACAGTTACAGGAAGTGTATGACCCGCCACGGAGTAATAACATGATCTGCGGGCCCCTTGAGGAGGGGGCTCCCGCTTGAGACTTCCTCGCAATTCACTCACAGACGAGGTTCCCGCCGGACACTTCCTCCAAATTTAGGCCTGATGGTGATGGTGAATGATCGATGGATGATGGTGCTAGTGATGATGAAGCTGATGATGACGATGATGCTAATAAGTAGTGATGATGATGAGTGCTGATGATGACGAGTGCTGGCGACGTGGTGTTGACAATGTCGATGCTGACGATAACGAGTGATGATAATGAGTGAGTGATTGAGTGAGTGAGCGAGTGAGTGTCTGAGTGAGTGAGTGAGTGAATGAGTGTGTGTGTGTGGGGGGGTGAGTGAGTGGGTGTTCCTGTTCCTGTTCCTGCGCGGGGTGCCCAGAGAAAACACTAACCCCACTTTGAATGTGGGGAAAAAAGGAAAACGAGGAGGATTAGAAAAAGGGGTGGACAAGGGGGAGTTACGGAGTTACGGATCGTGCGACCAGGCCGGTTAGCACAGAGACCCCAGACAGTTTACAAACGATATGAAGTTGCCTTGGAGCCTCGCTTGGCAAGTTCCGCTCGAGGGGGGACGGCAGAACGACGGGGACCAGGAGGAGGAGGAGGAGGAGAAGGAGGAGAAGGAGGAGGAGGAGGAGGACGGCGAGAACGGCGAGGAGAATGATTAAGGTCGGAAGGACGAGGAGAAGGACGAGGATGCCGAGGAGGCGAGACGACGAGGAGGGGGGAGGGAAGCGAGGAGGACAGGAGACGAGTCAGTGGGAGGATGATGAGTGGGCGCGAGAGGAGGAGGGGCGAAGGACGAGGCGCAGAAGGACGAGGACGCAGAGGGACGAGCCGGCCGCCGAGGAGGCCCGCGCCTCTGACGGTTCCCACGGGGCCAGCTCTGGCTCGGAGCAGCTGGCCGAGTTCTTCGGCCGCATCGTGTGGGCCCCGGGGGAGTCGGAGGAGGAAGCGGAGGCGGGACGCCGCCGTCGCCTCCGCCCTCCCCTTCAGAGGCGGGGCGAGTCGGGGCGGGCTTGGTTGGCCTTCGGGCGGAGGAGGGGGGGGGGAGGAGGAGGGGGAGGAGGAGGAGGAGGAGGAGGAGGAGGAGGAGGAGGAGGAGGAGGAGAGGAGGAGGAGGAGGAGGAGGAGGAGGAGGAGAGGAGAAGGAGGAAGAAAAACAGAGGAAAACTGCTGCGCTGGGACCCCCAGGGAGGGGTCCGGGGGCCGACTTTTCGAGCTGCCGTTGTCTCGACTCGCCCGGCGCCGGGTTCCGACCTTCGCCCACCTTCTCTCCCTCCTTCTTCCTCCCTCCGCCTGCTCCCTTCCGTGTCTTCCCTCCTTCCTCCTCACTCCTCCCTCCTCGTCTCAGCTGCCGTCCCGGTTCGAGGCTTTGGGCGCAGTGCCCGCGGTTCCAGATACCGCCGCGCGCTGCGAGCCTCGCCCGCGGACAGCCGCCATACGCGCCGGCCGCCGTGCCCGCCTGGCGCGCTGCGAGCCAGCCGTGCCGCGAGCGAGCTCTCGCGAGGGTGACACGCCGTACAGACACCGACGCGGACGCACCGACCCAGCCTGGCACCGACACGCCCGTTGGCTGCGCTGACCAGCGAGGACGCTTCGCCGCGTCGGTCGTGCCCGTTGGTCGTGCCCGCGCGAGGATCGCGCTGACAGAGCAGCGCCGTGTGCAGGACGCCACCGACAGTCTCGGCGCGCGCGACAGCACCGGCATCATGTACGGAGTGGACGGATGCAAGGGCGCGGGCCCCTCTGGCGGACGTGCAAGCGGTGCCGGAGGTCACAAGCGTGCCTCGGGTTTGGGCGGTGGAGCGACGCCGCCATGGCATGTACCGCGACCGCCGCCAGGATGGTGGTGCCCCGCCTGCGGCGAGCTCAACTCGCCAGCCGACCTCTTGTGCCGGACGTGCTACCCGATGCCATCGCATGGGCCCAGGCATGGAGCTGGAAGCGCAGGCCATGGTGACGGTCGGCCTCGACGCCATAGGCGAACGGAGGACGACGGTCGTCCACCACGCCATAAGCGAACGGAGGACGACACGAGTCACGGCTGTCCGCGCTCTGGCTCTCGCCGACGCTGCCGCCGACAGTCCAGTGGCAGCGCGACGCGGCCGAGGTCGGCCTCTCGAGTGCGATTTGAGGACGAGCCAGAGCCAGAGTCAGCAGGAGGACGGCGGCGAGGAGAAGCTACAGACGACTCCGAGGCCGACGACGAGGTCCGCAGCCCAGCGCTGGGCATCTTGCCAGCGCTGCCGCAGGACGCTCATGCACATGCGTCCTGGGTGGATCCGCCCAGGGACGAGCGCGAGCTGGCTGCACATCGGCGCTCGCTCCGACAGATGGCAGCAGCCACAGGCAACCGGCTGCTCGCCGCTCGCAACCTCGGCATGTCCGACGAGCAGAGGAGGCCACAGGAGGAGGAGTACTCAGTGCAGCTTTGCATGGTACTGACGGCACGCCCGCCTGGCGTCAGGTGTGATCGACAACGGTCCTTCGTACAGCGAGCTCAACGCAAGCCAGAGAAGGCGCAGACCGATGCGAAGCAGGCCAAGAATATCATGGAGGAGAAGGAGGCCAAAGTGCAGCAGCGGGAGGCGGCCCTCAGCAAGGCCAAGGTGCTGCTGGATCAACTCGAGGAGCTCGTGCCGTCAGTGGGCCACGCCATGGGCGACGGCGCCGAGGAGGGCGAGATCGCGGCGCCAGCGGGGCCGACGCCGCCTGCTGGATCACCAGCCTCTGGCACCCCGCCGGACATGGCCCCGCCCGCGGCGGCCATCGCGGAGTTGCAGGCTGGGCAGGCGCAGTTCACGCGACAACTGGTCGGCCTCGCGCAGCTGCTGACGACGATGCAGAGCCTGATGGCCGCCGCAAGTGCAGAGACTGCGGCGGCCCCCGCCGCGCATGGGCATGCCGCATTCGCGGGCCAGCCGCAGATGTTCGGGTCCGCGGGTCGCGCTGCCCAGGCGACTGGAGCTGCAGCGGCGCCCGTGACGCCCGCAGCCCCAGAGCAGGCGCCCGCGGTCCCTGCGGCGGCCGAGCCTGGCGACGCCGCGGCGCCGCCACGGACGAGGGCCGGCCGCGCCGCCACACCGCCTGCGGCCGCGGTCGGCCCGCGCGGCGGCGGCTCGACAGGCCAAGCGCGAGGCTGACCGAACCCGCAGGCCCGCAGGGCAGCAGGGCTTGTGGGGCGCCGTTGCGCGGCAAGACACAGCAAGTCACCGCGGGCGCGGAGCAGCGCCGCATGTGCCTGCAGGGCGCGAAGAGATCGCAGCTGGAGCTGGGGAGACGGAGGCGGCCGACGCTGCGGCACGCCGACAGCGGCGCAGCCGCAGCCACAGCCCGCGCCGTGGCGCGGACGGCGAGTTCGTGGCCGTCGGCAGCGACGGCAACTCCCATGCGTCGACTCCGGGGTGATGCGGCCTGTCGGGCAGGCCACGTGGAGTGAGATGCATGAGAAGCCCATGCCATCTCTCGGTCTGCCCAAGACAGGAGATAGGCTTGCCACGGCCGCAGCATCTGATAGAGTCTGCGCTGTCAGCCGTCGTGCGCCGCTGTCTGCGAGCTGGTCAGGCACCGTTGTCAGCCCTGGCAAGCTCGCGCCGCATCTCTCACCCCGCCATCCTCGGCCCATATCTCGCTGTTCCGTCTCTCTCCTACTAAGTGAAAAGCTATCGGGCGAAGCTGGTTTTCAAGCCGCTTTTTTTGGTGTTATGGTTATTGCAAGCCAAACGTGGTTTCGTGTTTTCCCGTCTGTTGGGTCAACTCGCCCTTGCACTGAACAAGCTTGCAGATGCCATCGCACGTTTTGCATATATGGGGATCGTGCCGACAACAGCAGATGACTTTCAACCGTGGTCAGCATCGACGACGGTCTTGGGGTATACCCGATGTTGGTGCATGTGAAATGCCGCATAGAATCGACTCTGGGAATGCCTCATGCGACGCAGCCAGCCTACCTGGAAACGTGTCATACATATAGGAGTGCATGCGCGTGCGCAGTACCAGTCCAGGATCACGCTAGCACGCAAGTTGTGCATAATTGCATGCGGCAGGGGTGCCCGCTCGTGTGTGCAGCGATGACAGAGATATCCTTGTGCGGCCACCGCCGAATGAAGACATGCCCGCCATGGAGTGCCCATGGTTCTGGGCAGGGTCAACGCGACATCGGCAATGCGCACGCAAGTGGCGCGCGTGAGCCGACCACTGCCGACGCGGGCGAGTTGCACGCTGGACACGGCGGAGCGTGTGCGATGTGCATGCTGAAGTTTAATGCCCGCCCGACCGCATCTAGTGGACAATATTTCGCTGGTCTCGCTTGGATGCGCGCTAGTTTACAAATCGTGATTAATTTTTGGGGGCTCTTGGAAGTCTTGCCTTTTCAATTGGAGCAGCTCCGTGTCGACAGGGTCTGCTAGGAGCCATGATTGAGCTGTTGGCCGTGCATTTGATAGTCGGAACGAGGCGCGGGAGGAGTTCGGAGTCTTGGAGGAGGACCGTCGTGGGTCTTTAAGGTGTTTCTTTGCAGAATGGGACCCATACTCGGGACCGAAGAGTCATTGACGCCCGTTTTGACGCAACCCGATCTGGTCGGGCTTGTGCAGACCCAGAGCGGTGCATGCGTCGCCGCCCGAGTCCATGCCAGGTTCGCCCTTCTTCTAACCTGAGCCAGGAATTGCGTTTGTTTCAGGATTCCGTTCCTCGGGCACCTGGGCCACAAGAGGCCGATAAATCCAGCGCTTTCCCTTCCCCCCCCCGCCTCGACCAGTCGAGATTCCGAGCACAGATCGCAGCTAACTGCGCGCAGGCAAAGATGCGAAGGAAGCCCAGACACGACCAGAGAGCTGCACCTTGAATGCGCCGGCCCAACTTTGAAGGCGGGCTGTTCGATCAGTTGCAAGACTAGATCACAGGAGGTGTTCGGAGGTGGTTATCGTCGGCATCGGAGGAGGTTAACAGCTAGCCACGTTTTGCAGCGAGTTCGGTCAGGCAGACTGTCATTCCTGACCACTATTTCAGGAGCATTTTTCCGCCCCTCCTTATCTCCCCCATCTTCCGCGACAGCCCAGCTGACTTCAACGTGTGGTCAGAATCTGGAGGTGGGTGGAGATGGGCGGGTGTTTGGAGGATCGAGGAGCGGAGAGGTGCGACAGTGTAGCAGCTCGTGCAGACGCCCATGCCCCGCCGCCGCTCCGTCGCAGAAGCCCTGCGGGGCCCGTCCCCCATGGGTGGGCAGAGTGAATCGGTTGTGACTGACAGCGGTCGCGTGCTGCGCAGCTGTCGCCAGCTCCAGGGCAGCCATTGTCGGCCGAACCGAGGGTCGAACCGTGAGGGGAGGGGGCCATAGTGGGCGTTCCGAAAGGAACTCGCGAAGCCCCCCCCCCACAGCGGCGCTCGCCGAGGCAAGGTCAACGTTTACAGTTGCTCGCTTCGAGAGCAACCCGCAGTCGTTGAGATATGGGGCATTCGGGGGAGGCGGGGCTGTATGGTTCGGGCATTGGTGGTGGGATCTAGGAGAAAGGGCGCCTGCCTATCTTGCTCTTTCCGCCCGCCGCCTGCGTGCTACGCCACCCGCCATCTCTCTAGTTGGCAGCGCCTTCGACATAAATGCGCGCCCTGCCATTAGCCACCGACACGCTGGCACATTCCATGCCTTGGCCCGTGGGGGCAGTGGCAGGGGTCCGGTGAGCGAGGGCCGTCGCTAACCACAAGCCGCTGCGCGTGCTGAACGGACCCCCAAACGGACAGCCAGGTGTCGGGTCCAGTGTGCAGTGCAGCTCTGCATGGCTTGCCTCTCCTACCGAACTCTGTGTTGCGAGAGACCCGAGCCCTGGCTGATAGGGGGATGTCGGGAACACCTTGCAGGACCGCCGCCACCGTAGGACCGCCTCTCCTACTGACCACTGTTGAAGTCAGCTACATGCTGACGCTTAATCATTAGTGGAGGTCGATGGGTAGCGGCGGGGGGGGACGCTGGGACTGGCAATTCGGCACTCACGCCGAACCATTTTACCGTGCTGTACTTTACCTTCGGTGCCCGTGCAGAGTTTTCGAATCTCGACTTTTAGTATAGACACATGATCGTCTGTGCTAACTGTCTCTGCTAGCCGCAGCGCCACTCTCACGCGACAGCCGCCAGGTTCAACGCGCGCGCAATCCAAAATCCTCCTCGTCTCTCTTCCTTTCCCTCTTATACATTTCCCTCCCTCCTCTTCCTCTCCTCCTTCAATCCTTCCCTCTTCCCTCCTCCCTCATCTTCCTATTCCCCCTCTTCCCTCCTCTTCTCTCTTCCCTTTCTCCTCTTCCTCTCCCCCCCCCCTCTTCCCTTTTCCCCCCCTTCTCTCTCACTTCCCTCTTCCCTTCCTCCGCCAGGCGGGGGGCGATCGCTGGAGGTGCGCGCCGTGCATTGCAAAGGCTGCAGGGGCTAGAATCGAGCAGAGCTTGAGCAGAGCCGAGGGTCAGAGAGCGTCTTTCTCTGCAGGACGACCAGACAAAAGACGTCAAGGTGGTCAAACGCCTCGCCAGTGAATCCGACGAAGATGTGGAAAATCCAACCATTCGCTTATATCCAAAGCTTTGGCTTGACGCCGGGTGTGGTAAATAATTTTCAGCTTGACCGAACAGGTTGGTTGCGCCTCTTGACTTCCGTTAGGGGTGTTCTGCAGACCTGAGCCCCCATCCCCACTCAAAGTAGATGATCGACTACATGATTGATTTACCCAAGAATTGATTTGTTCGTCGAATATTCGAACACTGCGCAGAATGCTACGTAGATCTACAGAGCATTCTACGCATGTTCCGTAGACTCGACGAACAAATCAAGTTTGGGGTGAATCACTTCGGTAGTCGATTCCCTAGTTACTCGATGGAAGGCAGGCATGGCCACTCAGCCCGTGGCCCGTCTTGGACAACACGGGCAAGGAACGGCGGAACCGTCTCGAGCGAGGCTTCCATCCCCGCACGGGGGGAAGGAGGTCGTCCTTGAGAGCTGGGCTCTCAAGGACCTTGGTTTACTCGCCCAGGCGAGTGAGCAGTGCGCATGTGCTCTCCGCAACTGGCAGTATCGTCAGTCCGCACAACACCATCCTCATACGTCTTCCATCTCCTCCTCCTCCTCCTCCTCCTCCTCCTCCTCCTCCTCCTCCTCTTTCCCCCCATCCTCCGTCCTCACTCCTTCCTCCTTCCTCCTTCTCCCTCCTTCCCTCGTCCTGCTCCCTCTTCGTCCTGCTCACTCCTCCCTTTCCTTCCGCTTCCCCGCTCCTTACCGTCCCTCCTCCGTCTCGCTCGTTGTCTTCCTCATCCCGCTCCTCCACAATTGATCCTTGTCCTCTATCATTTGCTCATCTGAGAAATTCTTCCCTGGCGCACAAGCGGACGTGCCGTTAGCGCGGTCAGGGTGCTCCCACGTGGAAGCTTCAAAAGTTGCGCAGACGGAAGGTGGACTTTATCCGACGTGGGAAGTTTGCCTTGGCGCCGCGCGACTCGCTGTACACATTTCATGCACTTACACGGATGCAGAGCGAGTCGGTTTCATCATGTGGTGCTTGCCTTGGTGCCGCGCCCATTCGTGTCAGCCATTTCCAGCAGCTACACGGATCGATGAGGAGGGTTGGTAGGCCTCATAAGGGATTTGCCAATAGATGGTGAATCATTATGATCGCATTTTTGATAGGACGGCAGCAAACTAACCAATACGACCATATTGCACACGCGCTGTTTTGATTCCACGTGCAGCTTTTCCTCGCTCGTTGCGCCTTCCCCTCCTCCTCATCCTCCTCCTCCTCCTCCTCCTCCTCCTCCTCCTCCTCCTCCTCCTCTTGGTCGTCTCACTGTGACCCGCTTGCGCGCCGTTACCGCTTGTGGTGCCCATGGTCCCACAGCGCACAAGCAGAGCTTCTCATTGGGAGCCGACGGCGTGGCCCGGCGTGTAGCCTAGGCCCGGGTTCTTCCCTATGCCAGCGTTCATGCCCACGCCCCGCTTGGTGTAGGGTTCGTCAGCCACTCAGTCAGACACGGATCGTTGGTGGCCTCTTCGTCAACGACCATTATTACAGTTTAACATTTTGCACCAGTTTCAATGGTAGAGGGCCCTTCTTTTTGAACATCATGTTTCTGCTTCGTTATGGTATCGGAGACGCCTACGGCGAATCACAGCCGCCCCCCTGCCTTCTGGGATACGCCAATGTGGCCAAACGTTTAGGCCACGCTTGGACACGCTATTGGACCATCCGTTCCCCAGCCCTTGTGGAAACCCCTCGGGGAACGCGCGGGCGAGGAAAAGGGCGATGGGAAGAGGAAGGGAAAACAGATTTGAGGAGGAGGATGAAGAGACCTCTCGGACGAACCAAAGGAGTAGCAGCCGAACAAGTAGGACCGGAGGAGTAGAGCCGGAGGGGTAGGAGACAAAAGGGTAGGAGCCGAAGGAGTAGGGGCCGAAGGAGTATGAGCCAAAGGAGGTAGGGGTCGAAGGAGTAGGAGCCGAAGGAGCAGGAACCGAAGGAGTAGGAGCCGAAGGAGTAGGAGACGACGGGGTAGGAGCCGAAGGTGTAGAGGCCGAAGGAGTAGGAGCCGACGGAGTAGGGGTCGATGGAGTAGGAGCTGAAGGAGCAGGAGCCGAAGGAGTAGGAGCCGACGGAGTAGGAGCCGAAAAGGAGGGGCCGATGGAGGAGGCGCCGAAGGAGGAAGAGTCAAAAGGAGTAGGAGCCGAAGGAGTAGGAGTCGAAGGAGTAGGAGCCGAAGGAGTACGAGTCGAAGGAGTAGGAGTCGAAGGAGTAAGAGCTGAAGGAGTAGGAGCCGAAGGAGTAGGAGCCGAAGGAGTAGGCGCCGAAAGAGTAGGGGCCGAAGGAGTAGGACACGAGGGTTGGATGTGCGCGTTACATCTTCAGGTTCGGTCCTTCAGCTTCCACTCGCTCCGCCCTTATTCCTTCGGCTCCCGTTCCTTCGGTTCCTATTCCTTCAGTCCTACTCCTTCAACTCTTACTCATGCAACTCTTATTTCTTGAATTCCATGTCCTCCAGCTCTTACTCCGTCAATGTATTTACGTTGGGCTCCTATTTGTTTGTTACATGTTGGATCTTCACGTTGAATGTTTGCATTGCAGTTTCACGCTGGTGTTTTGCAACGGATATTTGTTTGTTGGATCCTTCAACTCCTACTCCTTCAGCTGCTAACCCACTCAACTCCCGCCCATTCAATCCTTCCTCCTTCAGTTCCAACTATTTCGGCTCCTACCCCACCGACTTGTTTTTGCGTTTGTTTGTATAGTTTTCCGATCCGTTACTACATTGGTTTTGTTACGCTGGACTTTACGTTTTTTTTTGTACCGTTGGTTTTTCACATTTGGATTTTACGTTGGATTTCCACGTTGGGTTTTCACGTTGGATCCTTCAGCTCCTACTCCTTCGGCCCCCCATTCCTTCAACTCATGTTCCTTTGACTCATATTCCTTCAACTCCAAGTCCTTCGGCTCAATGTCTACGTTGTTTTGTTTGATGTTTTACGTCGGACTGTTACGGTGGATGCCTACGTTGGGCTTTCGCGTTGGATGTTCACGTTGTTTTATGTTACGTTGTGTTGTGCGTTGGATTTCTACTTTTGATGTTTACGTTGGATCTTTCAGCCCCTTCTCCTTCGGCCCCATCGGCTCCTACTCCTTCAACTCCTATTCCATAAATTCCAAGTCCTTCGGCTCCTACCCCTTCTATTCATGTGCGTTGGACTTTTACATCGGATTTGAGCGCTTGATTTTTTTCGCGCGGCTTTTACGTCGGAGTTTCACGTTGATTTGGGCGTTGGATTTTCACGTCGGGCTTTTACGTTGGATCCGTCAGCTCCAATTCCTGCGGCACCTGTCCCTTCAACTCCTACTCCGTCAATTCCTAGATTCCAGTTCTTTCGGCCCCTACTCCTTCAAATTATACGCGATGGGTTTTAACGTTGAGTTTTCACGTCCTTTGTTTCCGCTGGATTTTAACGCCCGGCTTGCGCTTTGGATCTTTACATGGGTTTTGTCGATTGGATGGTTGCGCCTGTTTTTGTTCGTTTGATCGTTCAGCCTCTCCCCCTTCGGCCTTTACTCCTTCGGCCCCAACTCCTCCATCTCCCACTCCTCCAACTTCAACTCCTTCGTATCCCACTCCTTCAACTTATTTGCGCTTGATACTGTTGCGTTGGATTTCTACGTTGGTCTTTCACGTTAAGCTTTTGCATTGGATTTGCGCGCTGGATTCCTACGTTGGACATGCGCATTAGATCTGTCAAGTCCTCCCCCTTCGGCCCCTATTCCCTCGGTTCTTACTCCTTCAATTCCTACCCCATCAAATCCAACTCCTTCGGCCCCTGCTCCTGCAATGGTTGTTCGCGTTGGGCTTTCACGTTTTTCGTTGGTTTGTTTTGTTTTAACGTTGGGCTTGCTCGTTGGATCTTGACGTTTGGGTTTTACGCTGAACCCTTCAGCACTTTTTTCTCTGGCCCCTACTCCTGCAATCCCTGCTCCTTCAACCCGTACATTCCAGCTCCTTTGGCTCCTACTCTTTCAAATATTCTACGTCGGATTTGCGCGCTGGATTTGCACGTTGGATTTGTACGTTTGACTTTTCAGCTTTGTCTCCTTCGGCCTCTACTCCTTCGGCCCCTACTTCTCCAACTCCTACTCCTTCAATTCCAACTTCTTCGGCTCCCATTCCTTCGACTTATTTGCGTTGGGTTTGTGCGCTTGGTTCTTGCGTTTGGCGTTTGCGCTGGGCTTTCGCGCTGTATTTGCGCGTTTGATTTCTACTCTTGGTTTTTAAGTCGGATCGTTAAGCCCCCCCCCCCGTTCGGTCCCTACTCTTTGGGCCCTTACTCCTGTAACTCTTATTCCTTCAATTCCAACTTCGTCGGCCCTTGCCGTTGCAACTTCTGTTGCGTTGCTTTTTTTTTCGCCGGGCTTGTGCGTTTGAATTTCGCGTTGCATTTTACGTTGGTTCTGCGCTTGCGTTTATTCCCCCAATTAGAACCTGCCTCTGTGGGGTCCGAGCGGATTCACATGGTTAGGTGAGGTTTGGCGCCGGTTTCGGCGGCGCGCCCGGGTGCCCTGTAGCCCAATGGCCTTATATAGCCTTATAGCGCTATAGCCCGATAGCCCAATTGCCCTATAGCCCTATAGCCCTAATAACCCTATAGCTCTATAGCTCTATAGCCCTATAACCCTAATGGCGCCATAGCCCTATAGCCCTACAGCCTTACAGCCCTATAGCCCTACCGCCCTATAGCCCTATAGTCTTGTAGCCCCATAGCCCGATAGCCCAATCGCCCTATAGCCCTTATGCCCTCATAGACCTATAGCCCCATAGCCTCATAGCCCTATGGCCCCATAGTTCTATATGCCTACAGCCCTATACCCCTATAGCCCTATAGACCAGGCCTGTAGCCC